TGGTTAGGAATTTTATGAAAATTTGAATGAAACAATTAGAGATTTGAAACCCGATGAGTTAAGGGATGCACAATCGTGACATTTATAATACAAACCCACTAAGGTACATCACTATTGCAGCATTTTTTTACAAAAAAAAAGCCATTAATTACATGATTATTGCGGCGTTTATTAAAAAACACCACTAAAGTACAAGTCTATTGCGGCGTTTGTATACAAATGCCACTAAAGTAAGAGTATTTTGCGGTGTTTGATCCGCTAAAAATGACGTTATACATCTCTATTGCGGCGTTTGTTTAAAAACACCACAAGTACTACTCTGTTGCGACGTTTATACAAACACCAAACGCTGCTAAGTACTTCTCTTGCAATGTTTGTTGTAAAAATGCCACTATATATAAACCCTATTGTGCATTTTTATACAAACGCCACTAAAGTACTCTTTGTTGCGGCGTTTGTTAAAAAATGCAACTATATATGAATCCTATTGCAGCGTAAATTTACCATTTTGCAGCTTTTGATTGGAAATGCCACTATATGTTTAAAGTTAGTGGCGTTTACTCTCAAAACGTTGCTATAAACGCCGATGTAGAACAATTTTGCTATAATGGTTGAGGCACAATCTTAGAAACAACTTTGAGAAACAATTTTGAGACACAATTCACAAAGTTGAATTAAGAAATCACTTAGAAATTTCCTTTCAAATTCGTTCTTTCCGATGATAGAGAAAGGCAAGATTGTGTTCGACTGATCATTACAGTTGTGCTTACTGTTGTGATCATTTGTTGTTGTATCCTGGGAGACCGACGTCCAACGTTACTTAAATCACCTAGGAGAGGACGAATTTGTCTTAAGGAAACTGTTCATACATGCCTCAACAAAATTCTTCTTCGATTTATGTTACTCTACTCATCCGATTCATTGTCTAAATATGAGTAAACCAATTTCTTGCCTCTATTTTAAGTTTTATTATTTTTCTTCGTTCGATTATATATAATATTTATTATTATTTTATTTCGGATTAACATTTTTTCTAACAATCTTAAGACAGATTCATTCTTATTTTAATTCAAGATGTACGAATGAATTATTTAATTTGAGTTTAAGCCTAGCAGTTTGCCAGTATGAATGGATTTTGTTGAAAATCTAAGACGAAACAAACGAAGGGTTGCATGTTCCATTAACACAATTTGACCCTGATGACCGTTTTGGTTGGGATATGGTGATGGCTCTGCGTCTGGACAAAGTTTCTCTAATTTTCACGTGTCCATCAAGGATGCCATTGGTGTCCATCCAAAGAATAGTACAAATAGTGGGAATAAGTTGTATTGTATCCAATAAACACAACTAACAAATATATCAAGCAAAAGGCATGACCCAACAGACATCATCAAGACATGATTTCGATCAAATTCAAGAGTTGCAATATTTGGGTGGCCTTTAAATTGGTATGCATGTACTGCTTCTTTCTTTATTGATTAATATTTACCATCACTGCCTTGAAACTTTGAAAGCGAGAACTAGGATTGAGACTTTTTGGAGATGCATTCCCACTAACTTTTGTGCAGTAAGGAACTTTTATTTGATTTGCCTATAAGCCATTGCACGTTTATTTTGATTTGTCTATATCTAGTGGAGAAATTGAGAATGAAAAGGGGGCAGTAGAACAAAGGACAAAAAGTCCAATATGCAATTCCAAAAATTGGATAAGGATTATGTTGTTTCAACCTTGAAAAGGTACGACTTGCGCACCAAGCCTTATTGAATTATAATGTTCTTTGTTGGATTAATTCTTCTTCAATTCAAGTTTAGCACTAGCCTTGTCCTTTGTGGTTGCGTTTCGCTTTAACCCAAAGGTTGATTGTTAAATTCTAGGTTGCAATATTGAAATTTCGATAAAGAAATCGAAAAGGTATGTATATTTCTTTTAAATATTTATACATTGAGATTATATTATTGTTTCAGATTTTATTAAATTCCCACCATTCAATAGAAGTTAGTTATGTTTCGAGAATTAATTTATTAAATTCTCATCGTTCAACAGAAATTGATTCTGTTTCGGGTTTTAATCCCATTGTCTACAGAAGTTTTTGTTTTGGATTTTAGTTTTACTAAATCTTGACCTTTAACAGATTCAACAAAATATTGTTGATTGTGAATTTGTGTTGCGGGATTTTAATTTTACAAAATTCTCATCGTTTAACAAAAATTACTCAATTGTTGGATTTTAGTTTTGACTAAAATTCGTTGCGATAAATAAGGTGTCGGAACGAAATTATGATATGTCTTTGAATAAAAATCAGCCCTATAATTTTGTTTCATGATTTTAATCATGTTGTTCAACAAAATTTATTTGATTTATTGTTGATAACAGGAATCGTTTGGAGGTAACAACATTGTTACAAATTTTGTTTTTAGAATTTTAATTTCTAGTTAAATCTTGTTGTTTAACAGAAGCAAATGGTAAAATAAATTGAATTAACTTTCAACTTACTTTTGGAATATTTACAAATTGTGGTTATGTGTTTTAAACGAAACAATGGTAACCTCACTGATTCACCTAACTCGTGACTTGAAATGTGATTCCTATTCAGACTTTGAATAAAATTCAATGATGTTGGTTGTGAGCCACAACGAAAAGCATGTGAAATTCATAGATAGAATTTCAAGACATAATGACATAAGATGTTATATTTAATCATGCCGAATATTGTCAATTATAGGATGATCCTCCTATTCATAGAGAGGATGAGATAGACGTTGTTGTCATTAAAGCTTGAAACCATTCTAAGTTTCTATGTCGGAATTACATCTTGAATGGATTGTCATATGCACCATATTATGAATGACATTTGGCAATGCTCTTAGTTGTCACAGAACATGTGGAGGAAGCTATTTTAGCAAATTACCTTTAATAAGGTAACTTACAAGAAAATAGGCGATACACCATATGAGTTATGGAATGTAGAAACTTTCCTATAACTACATCAAAGTGTGGGGTGTCTTGTATAAGTATAATGGTAAGTCGAGACACACACGTCGTTGACATAATATAATTAAACAATTGATCTCAACTAGTTATCTATATTGATTTTGTAAGATTAAAGATAACATTATGGATCCACTAAACAATGAGTTGAATCGAGATCAAGTTGATAAACATCGAAAGGAATGTGACAAAAGCCCATTAATTTTATGGCGCTATGTGAAGGAAAACTCAACCTAGTTAAATGTAGATCCCAAGATCTAGGTTAAATGGGACAACCCACTTGTATAAACCTTGTGAGATCACTGTGGGGTCCTTATCCCAAGTCCATTCCTATGATAAAATAGTGACTAAACTTTGGAAAAGGTTAAGCAATGCTTTTAATGACCACTATGTTTTTCGGTGAGCCAAACAACATAAGTCACCTATGTGAGAGTGAAGTGTAGCTGCTTCAAAGAAACTATTGGGGTATAGTTCTCTAAACTCTTGTAGAACCAGGATATGTCCACGACAATATGGACATAACCATGAGAACCAAATTCTTCTCAGTTACATATTTGTGTGAGGTATGTCATTGCTTACACCAACGACATGACAGTTCAAGGACATCACATCTACTGGACAACCAGTAAGGTAAACATATTTTCATAAGGGAAGGTTCAAAGGGGACGCTTACCTATCCTATGCAAATATCGAACGTAGAATATATCACCATATCAAGTCAGTGTTTGAAATCATCAATTTCATTCATGTGGGGGATTGTTGGAAAAATAATAGTTTAATTGAATAAAATTGATGCTATTTATAATAAGTCATGTCACTTGGTGAATAGACTTATTATAATAAGTCATATCACTTGGTGAATGGACTTATTTTTTAGTTTAAAGTTGAATCAATTCAATTATACCTATTAGTTTTTCAACAAATTCTTTCAAGAAATGTTTTAACCATTTATCAAAACCTAACCTTTTGATTCATATCCCCTCACCTATAAATAGGTTAGTTGAGGCACAATCTTAGAAACAACTTTGAGAAACAACTTTGAGAGACAACTTTGAGACACAATTCACAAATTTGAATTAGAAAATCACTTAGAAAATTCATTTCAAATTTGTTCTTTCCGGTGATAGAAAAAGACAAGATTGTGTTCGACTGATCATTACAGTTGTGCTTACTTTTGTGGTTGTTTGTTGTTGTATAATGGGAGACCGACATCCAACGTTACTCAAGCACCTAGGAGATGATGAATTTGTCTTAAGGAAACTATTCGTACAAGCCTCAACAAAATTCTGCTTCGATTTATGTTACTCTACTCATCCGATTCATTATCTAAATATGAGTAACCAATTTCTTGCCTCTACTTTAAGTTTTTTATTTTGCATCGTTCGATTATATAATAATATTTTATTATTATTTTATCTCGGATTAACATTTTTCTAACAGTTGTTGATATGACATCCCCACATATCATCAATTTGGATCGGGAACGGACACATAATTTTTATGTTAAGGAAGCGAACTTATAAAATTTCAGGGGACAAAAACAAATTTTCAATAGAAAATACATAAAAAAAATCTAAAATATATGATAATTTTAAATTTTCAAGGGGACGACTACCCCTACCATGCCCTCCTTCGGTCCACACCAAAGTAATGACATGGCGTGTGTCACGTTAACAATTAAGCACATATTGAATTATCATCAACATGTGTTGGTTGTTAGTCAACTAACAATTTTCATCCAACATGGGTTATTTTAATAAAAATTAAAATATTGAGCCTAAAATGTAAAAAAAAGACCGAAATGATAATTTATGCAACATTATGCTTATGCCAAAATTCTATGGTGTCACTTTTGCTTTAATTCACACTTTAAGCTAACCTCAGGCAATAAACATGGTGTAGATAATAGCAATAATCAACTCAGCTGGGGAATTAGCTCTACTCACAATGGAAATTAACATCCCAGATTCTTGAAATGTACACATTTATTGCATCAGTGAGGGTCCATAAGATGTTACAACTAATATCATCTCTAACAACCAGACAAAGAGAATTATGATTCTGGGTTTAACTGAAATGAACTCTTTCTAAAGGCTCTGCATTTATGTTCATTTTCTCAAAAGCAGTGAAATTATCAAACGCCATGGCTCCCAAAACTGTGTCAGACAAGAAAAAGATTAAACTTTTAAAAAAAATGATATCATAAAGTTACCCAGGAAATTAGGGGCATACCAGAGAAAGATGTGGACCATGAACATGAACCTGCCAGATATAAAAATAAGATGAACAAATTTTAGATGGAAAAGCTTAATAATTTCTGTATAGAGAGAAAAGAAGAGTGTAATATGAATCAACACTGAAGCGAGTGCTTATCTAAAGCTCTTTATAAAAACTGGAAATTAATTAAGTAATTGGGTAAAATACACCATTCCTCACTAACTATACTCTCTCTCCTTTTTTACTCAGTGTACTTTTAATTTTTCTAATTTACTCATTGAATTTTTGAATAGCTCCTGTTTTGATCACTCTTGATTATTTTATTATTATTTTTGTATGATGTGGCCTTCTTTATTATTATTAATATATAAAAATAGAAGGTGATCAGCACCACTGTCAGCCACAGACGATCGTCATAGATGGTGGTTGTTCGGTCCAAATTTCATGGGTTTGTTTGTCTCGACCCCCTAAGTCCGAATTTGGTGGTTGTTTCACCAGAAAATGTCTCAAAACCCATGAATCTCGGTTGAAATGTTTTGGCTTCCTCACTTTCGATCTTCAATTCGTGGACTTCAGAGCAAGTTCCAAAAAAAGAGGGAGCATTCAGGCTCAAGGTGTCAACCGTTTTTAACCTGGGTGGGGAAAAAAACTAACTCGACCTGGGTTTTCTTTGGAAAGATTTGTGAAATGTTGCGAGTCGCCACCAACCATTTTAAGGTGCGACTGGAACACTTAAAATTAGGTAATTTTGATAAAACATTTTTGTTTTATCAAAAATACCGTATTTTATCTGCGAAAACTAGAAATCGGGTTCGAGAGTCAGTTACATGTGGGGAAGGATTATAACCCCCACAACGCCCAAAAATTGGCACCTAGTCGATTACCCTACATTAAAAAATCGAAAATTTTGAGTTCAAGATTTTATCTAATCTAAAATTCATTATGTATGCAAGGTTTTTTTTTGAACAGGATGTTGATTTACTTCGGGAATTACCAGTGGTCACCCCCTGAGCATAATGCAGAGGATACACTATTAACTCCTTGGTAAATGAACATTGCCTTGTTTTGAAGACATGATGCAATCAAACAATTAATTCCTAATTAAACTAAGGTTAATTAAGGCTTTCTCTAACTTAAAATGTCAATTTATGTAAATTAAAGAACCTCAAGGTCTAAACCTAAAAATGTAGGCTCTAATATTAACCATAATTAATTATTGAATCAAATAAACGAAATAGTCCCTTGGGCATTAAGGCGAGGGTCAAATAGAAAATTCCCTAATTTTTAAAAAGTTCAAGGACTAAATTTAAAAGAAGCCTAAATTCAAGGACTTGATCTAAAAATAAATCTATTTAAGGACTAAAATGAAATACATCCGTTTAAGGTAAACATAATAATTTTAATAAATAAACAAATTAATTAATATGTAAGTACCCAAAGCTCAAATCACGTAATTGGAAAGAAAAGAAAATCAAAATGTAACAAACAACTAATGTAACGGTTTTTAAAAAAAAAATAACTTTAAATAGTTTTAAGACAAATTTGGAAGGAACAAAAAGTAAAGGACTTAAGTCAAGAATTTTCAATAAAAGATCAAATCTTATGTCAAAATTAAATGAAAAAAGGTACTAAAATAAAATCATTAAATTATAAGTTGAATTCTTTTTTTAGAAAGAAGTAAGTAAACAAGGAATACCGAGTTTAAAGATAATGTGAAACAAGTAAATAAAAGTAAACAAACAACCAAACAACATAAAAACACAATGGTCAAAAATAAAAAAGTAAATGTAAACTAAGGACTAAATTAGAATAGTGGAACATAATAAGGGCTAAACATGCAATAAATCCACATAAACTAAAATGATGAACCAAAAAACAGTGACCAAATCAGATTAAATGCAAACATAACCACAAAATCTAAATAAATTAAAAACTTGATGCATGTGGCTGAAATGCGAAAACACGCTAAAATTCAGGGCATCATAACGCAATTTTACCCTTATCCAAAAGGGACAATTAGGGACCAAAATACAAATTTGTGCTAAAAGTCGAGTGGCTTGAAGGTGATTATCCTGTGTACTCCTAAACGACGTGGTTTCCTTGTGTGTATAAAAAGCTGAAATTAAACCAAAAAAATAATTTTCACACTTATATTAAAAAAAGTGAGAGAAAGCTTTACCCTTTACTCTCCCATCTCCAGAAACCGAAGGCTTCACCGCCAGCCACCATGTTGTCGCCTCTGACCGCTGTGACGACCGTCGTATCCGGTGGACGTCGAAGGCCAAAATACCTCGATCGACTTGTTCTGACACCGAGAATATAGATCCGGACTTAGTTTTGCATGAATTGGCTAATAACTCCTCAAAAGGGCCGAGATTGTTTCGACTTCTACCTCGCCGATCTCCTCCGTCAGCCGTTGGATCAAGCCGATTATGACATATATTGCTCCCCTCTTTAATACGCTTCTTCTGATCGTTCGGATTAATCGACGAAGCTTCCCAACTCCGACAAGGGGGCTCTGTTGAATGGTAAAGTGCTCTCATTCTTTTTTCTTTATTTTGTTTTCGTTTTGAATGGACTCTTGCTTTTTTTAGTTGATTTTTTGTGATGATTCGAACATAAAAAGGAAAATCTTGTATTCACTGTTAATCAAAAAATGGGGTCAATTCTTTATTTTCATTGCTCGAAAAATATCGAGAACCCCTTTTTATATATTTTCAAAGAGGATTCTATAGAACCCCTTCAAAATTACAGATAAAAAAAGAAAATCCCAAACCTTCTCTCCCCTCCTTGATTTTCTTTGTAGGTTATATGGAGAGTCTCCTTGGTGGTGGCATGCAAAGCAACATGAGTAGTAGGTTTCTAGGCATGTCAGGCGTCGATGGTAACAGTGATGGCAGAAGACAATGGTGGCAGGAGTAATCGGGGCATTGAGTGCATCGGATATTCAGGGATTGCCCTTTTTTTTTCTTCTTCTTCTTCCAAAGAACAAAAAAAATTGGTGATTACATAAGGTATCGAGACGAAACAACCCATGAAATTTGAGAGTGAACGGCCACCATCTATGATGGTCGACGGTGGTCGGCGGTGACGTTCGACCATCTTATATTTTTAATTATTTTATATTAAATAATAAAAAAATACCATATCATATAGAAATAATAAAAAAAATAATTAAAAGTAATCAAAACAAGAACAATTCAAAAATTTAATAAGTAAATTAAAAAAATTAAAAATATAATTAGTAAAATAAGAGAAAAATATATAATTTAATAAAGAATGATGTAATTCTACGATGAGTAAAATAAGAGATGAAATATAATTCAACCAGAAATGGTGCAATTTACTCTCGAGTAATTTCATGGGGTGTAGAGTAGCGTAGCGTCCATGCTGATAGCCTCTTTACTCAAAGATATTTCGTCACTAACCAAGCTAAGCTAAATTGAACGTGTACGGCATTTTCTTTTGTTGATTATTATTAAAACTATCTGTGATGGGACTTTAACGCACTAAATACTAATTAAAAATCTATATTTAGAGAGTGAGCCAATGAATAAGAATATTAAATCCATAGAGCAAATGTTTATATGTTAATGTAACACCGTCTCATCAAAATTATTATTTTTTAACCGAAAAAAAAAACAAAAAGCACCCCAAACATCTCGTGACACATGATTAGGGACGATAATGAATTAGGCTAGATTAGGTTTTCAGTCATTCTAATTCAACTTAAAAAAAATATGTTTTTTTATTTTGATTCGATTTGAGTTTTAATATATCTCACGACTTAAATTTTTAAAATATGTTTTTTTATTGAAGAACTTCTAGAATATTACATAAATACCCTGCTTATCACCATCCACTTTAGTAATTTTTTTAGTATTTCTTTTTCCTTTTATTGTCCGACATTTTACCTCACAAGTGTCTTATTTTACAGCTTTTTGCATCGACAACCATAAACGTTTAGACTTCCTTTACTAATGGGACCGATATCCGACAGCTTGTTATCTACTATACTTACATTGACGAGTGTTCGCTTGTACTCATTACGGTGATAGTAAAACATGAACACTTGTGGGCTGAAACATTGTTGGCTTTAATAGGTCGTTTTTAGGGAAACATTGCAATGATTGTTCCTTGAAAGGTTCATAAGTTTAAATGCACGACACTTAGTGTTTAGCACGATAGAACAACGCATGGTCAATTTGAATTAGAAATCGTCGTACATCATTTTTTATCTCTTGCTCTTTCGTTGGGCCTTCTCTGAGTGAAGTTCTGTTTGTTTTCTCTTGAATTTCCTTTCATGATGATGAAGAAAATTATAGTCAATGTTGTCGGAAGATAAATGAGAAAGTAGAGGTGAACCGTTCACTTCCAATGGATGGTGGTCCTTTCAAATGTAAACTCGCTAGCTCAAGGTCAGGAATTTGTTATTGAGTCCTGTATTGTAGGAGAGTAATGAATTTGAGTTTACCATTCCTTCAGGCTCACATCGTATGAGTGATACTGGGATGGCACCAAGGGGATCCGAAGTGATTTTACCTTCATTTATTCGTTTTAATACTAGGTTTCATTTCCTCGTGCATGATTTCGTGAAGGATGTATTGAGCAACTACGATAGCACTAACTCAATTAATTGGCGCCTCTAGGTGTATCATAGGTTTTTTTTTGCCAAAAAAAAACTAGGTACCTTCGATGGTAGATATTTTCACCTTCAGTGGTGTGGCTCAACAAGATTGCACGTGGCTTTTATTCTTCAAGCAGAGGTGTGGGAAGCAGTTTAAAATTGGGGAGCACATAGTAGGTTGGACCAGTAGATTGAGGTTGAGTCTGGATCGTTTCCAGTTTGTCAGGGTGATGCAGAAGTATATTCCTCAAGTTGCCTTGAGGGTTCGACTTTCCTCTCTAAAGAGTATATTCGGTCAATGGTTGAGGACCTATATTTCAGGATTAGGAAAGGTGGAGCAAAACAATTTGTTGTATTAAAGAAGATGGATCGCTAGTTTCGAAGATAATTTCTATCCCAATGCTTTTAGATATTGTCTCAAGAGCAATATCCCTAACAAGTTCAACGTTAGAGATGATATGGTTGGTTGAGAATGTCTTAGGGCGTTCTCGGTTGTAGAGGTGTGTGATCGTACAGAGGTACAAATAAGTTGGCGAAAATACTACTTGGGGAAGGATGAGGATACTCTACTCTCCTTTTGTCATTGTCCATAGACACCTTAGTCAGGCTAGCGACCACCTAGAGGTTTTTCTAAGGGTCTTGGTCCTTATGATGGAAATATACCCGAGATAATAAAATCAAGGGTCATAAGACTCACTTGGTGATGATTCAGTGGGGTTCTAAGGTATTGTGTCAGAACTTCTAGAGATCGATTAATGTCTTGGCAAAATTTATAATTATCAACTGCTCGAATCTTGAGATGGTTAATCTCCAATTACTAACCCTAGGTCGACCATAATTGTGAACTCCATATGTCTATAGTGTCAAGTATGGTGTCCTTATTCAACTCGTGTGAGGGAGATCTTTATGTCTAGAGTTGTGTGATTATTCTCTCAAATACTCCTCTCAAATTACTTAGCTACAAACCGAATAACTTAATCTTTTCAAAATTAAATTAAACCAGGTAAACATGTACATACATTAGTCAATGGAATACATATTATAAGCATGGAAAACATCTAGGTAAAACATTTGGATAAACAAAACAATACTAAACATTAAACATAAAATTACACATCCAAGAAAGTAGATCCATCCTTAGGAAATTTAGTTCATGGTTGAGCTAAAATTCACGTTTGCATTCATCAACATCACCACCCTCAAATATTGCAGACGAAAGTAAAGAAAATGGAAAATAAAAGAATTTAGCAAGAATAATGCTACTCTAGACTCCAGCGATGGCGAAAACAATGTCTTTCGATTGTCAAGGGATTAGGGCAACTTTCGTTACTCAATTGCGTAAAGGGTTTACGTTCGTGCTTTGCCTACTCCCTTTAGGTTCTTTACGTGTCCTTTAATACAGCTCCTTCTAGGGTTCGGCCTGAAGCCCACACTTGCTTCTTTTCCAAGTTGCTTATGTGGGCCAAAGGTAGCTTAATATTTTAATGCTGACGAGACATTTTTTTCCTTATTGTCCACTACCACGGAAGCAAGAATTAGGGTCAGATTCTATTGCAAGCAAGAATTATTCTCCTTGCTTGCAATAGAATTGACCGGCATAAATAGAGATGGGTATGAATTCAAACTTGATTGGTTTTGACTCGACTTAATCTTATATGATTTTGTTTTTAAAATTTGAGTTAGGGTCAGATCAGGTTTTGGGTAAAAATATAGACATGAATATTACTTAAATTGTCCCTTGTATTTTAGAGATAATTCCAATAATATTTTTTTTTATATATATTTTTAATTAGATCTCTCTTTTTTTGATAAAAATAAAAATTATATAGTATATATTTGTGTTGCGTCAAGTGTGAGTTAATCATGTTTTGTGTCGATAGAATCCTTAAACTCAATAAATAAATTGAAGAGTGCATGAATACGATATCCGAATCAGATTCAGATCGGCATAAACCATAAAGCAACATGAAATATTTGTAGTGGGGCATTAATCACATGCACCACTACAAATTATTATGATGCATACATGTACTTCCCCCCTTTCTTGTCACTCAAAATTTTATAAGAGACAAGCAATATGAAGCCAAAACGAGCCAAATTTCTGGGAATATATATGTTTGTTCAGCACTAATAAGATAGTTAGGCAGTGCCCACCATCTTGAAATATATAAACTAATATATAATTCTCATTATTGAAACACAACTGTGGGGAAAAGAGTTTAAATTCATTATTTGCCTAATCAGTGGACCTTAACTTAAAGACAGCTTTAATATACAAACTTTTTGAGATTTTCCACATCCATGACTATTTTGTGGAGGCCAATTTGCTTAAGTTCTCAGATTGCATCACCAACCATGTATGTACCACTCACTCATTATGTACAAGATGAATAGAAGGGTGTTGGCCTGTTGGGTTCAGTTGTATTTTTGAAATTTTCAAATTTCTTCATAGTTTAAATATTTTATTTTTATTTTTTAATATTTTAATTTTACCCCTTAAAATTTATAATTTCTCATCCTCGATATTTGTAATATATTTTTTTAAGTGCGCACCCTTAACATAAAATCACGATTATGGACTTCAAGTAGTGGTGTAAACGTGGACAACAATTGATACATTTTGTACTTTTTAAAATTTCAAATTATCGTATAATTTAAATATTTTTTATATATTTTTTGTTTATCCATAGTTGTACTTTTTAAAATTTTAAATTCTCGCATAATTTAAATATTTTTCGTATATTTTTTTTTGTTTATCCAATTTTGCATCTTTGAAATTTTATAATTTCATATCATAATATTCTAATATTTTTCTAAGTTGAACTCCTAATATAAAATCAAGATTATGAACCATAAGTAGTGGTGTAAATGGGACAGCAGATTTATTGCATTATGGAGATCAAAAATTGGATTCATAAATCAGCATGAAGTCCATTCTTTGCCTTAATCTGAATCAAATAAATACGTTTTGTGCATCCACTATTTATTGAGAGACCAACTATTTTATATCAAATGATGAATTTATAAAATAATAAGATGTAAATTTAAATTTTCTATAGAAATAAATATATTATCGATAAAAAATATTTAAAGTATATAAAAATTTGATATTTTTAGGACGAGGATTATTCCATCACTCCTTCAATTCATCCATTAGACATGTACATTAGAGACGGACGTAAAATTTTATGTTAAGAGACGAATTTTTAAAATTTTAGGAGATAATAGATTTATAAAATTTCAAGGGTCAAATAGATTTTGAATAGAAAATACATAGAAAAAATCTAAAATATATATGATTTTAAATTTTTAGAAGATAAATGACGAGTGATCCACCCCTT